CGTATTACAAATCATACAATAAGAATTAATAATTTAAAATTTTAAAAGACTTTAATGGTTTATACTTATTCTACTTCCACTTTGGACAAAAATATCCTCCCAATATGCATATTTTTTTAAATAAAAAGTGGAACCCATTATTGATGTATTCAAGGATGCTTTGGTATTTTTCTATGATGAATTCGTTTTGTTTGTAGTTTAGAAGTAACATTAGGGTTATCGATAAGACGATTCATTCAGTTATTTTTAAAAGAATTATATCATTCAATTTTTCGGCTATTTTATAATGTATAACCAAAATTAAAATTTTAAAATCATCCCAATCCTAATTTATGTGACACAAGCAGTACAAAAATTAGTTTTTTTTTTGTTGTCTTGTATATATTTTAAGTTATTATTTATTGTAAATTATAGTACTTTTTATTAAAGTTTTTAATAGCATATGTTACTTTTTATGTTTGAGAGTCTAATTGTTAATTATTGTAATAATATATAATATGGAGTATTTAAGTTATATATATTTATCATTATTATAAATATAAATATAAATCGTATATGTTACCTTTTTTATCTTAATTTATATGGCATTGATAGAATTTAAAGTGTCAAATAATTGTTAATTATTGTAATATATAATATGGAGTATTTAAGTCATTTATAGTATAGTAATTACTAATATATAATTTGTAGTATTTAAGTGGAAGGTGGTGGGGCCCACTTATAAATATATTGGATATTAGTAGTGATTCTTATTGGAACACATGTTGAGGTGTGGTGAATACTTATTCCCTCTTCTTATATAGTAATATAGATTAATGAAGGATAAATATAAAATATTAGGGGTATTATTGACACTCTCCCGACTAAATAATTTAGGAAAAAGTGTATGAAATAACAAATTATTAATTCAAATTAAATGATATAGCCATAGTTTGTTTTATTTGTAATTCGCAACAAACATCTCCTTTTTTGCCATCTGATTCGGTATACAATTAGCCATTTTCGGTTACAATTAGCCATTTTATACATTTTGGTATAAAATGTATAAAATGCGTTTGTGTTTGTATAAAGCGAGAGAAAAGTGCATATACAAATACAAATACATATATTTTCGTCCTATACACTTATAATTATACAAATACAGATCTTATTATACAAATTAAAATGTATAAATGAATTTATACAAAACTGGACAATTTGTATAAAATTGAATGTATCTAGCGAATTATACAAATCACAAGCAATTATGCAAAGTATAGCTATATCATACAAATATGATTTTTATGTTTGCTATATGTGAAAGTTGTTCAACAATTTATTCCCCCAATTCCCAAATCTCTTCCTTTTATTTTCTTTACAAATTAGAAAAGTAAGAAAATAAAAATAAATTAGGGATGTTATGATCATTATAGAACTATAATAATATTATAAATGAGGATACTTAAATAATAAATAAAAATTCCAAAAGAGAGTTGAATTATTATACTCTTAAAGATGAATAAATAATTTGAATCGAAGTTACTGAACTCAATCTAGCCATATCTCCAAGGCCTAACTGACAGAATAATCAATCACGAGAATTACCATTTGAATACTCCAAATAATGGGTTAGTGAATGAGTGAATGTTACATAAACTCTTTGAGCTTAGAATATATATATATAAAGTGAACATTGAGCGATAAATTCTTTTTTTTTCAAATAAATATATTATTATTTTTCTTTTAAAACACGTTCTTTGCCTAATAATAATTTTTTTATTAGTAAATGTTTATCCTATTTCACTTCGAAAAAAGATTTAAAAACAAAAAATATTTTGTGTTATTAGGATTTTTTATCATTATCTAAATGAAAATTAATGATGAATTATTATAATTTTATATATGACCTATACTATCAGTTAAAAAGGTAAGTTATTTTATTTTAGATAATGAGATTAAGAAGGGAAAAAATCGCTTCCTACTTATTTATTAGTTAATTAAAATGATTTTAAAAGAGAAGAAACAAGACTAAAAATTCTTTAAAAGTAATGGTTTTATTAGAAATAAAATGTGTTTAAAAATAATAGGAACATTTTTTACCAAATTATTAACAATTGAGATATTTTTAGATTAAATTATGAACGATTAAAATATTTTTAGATCAAACTATTAGTTAATTTGTAACATTTTTTTTCAATGATAGCATTTGTAACCCATTTCCATTTATTTTATTGTATATGACTGTCATTAATGAATAAGGACAAATATTTAGATAGAACTAGAGAAGGATACTTAGTTGAACATTCTTAGAGTGAAGGTTATATATGTTCTAGTTTTTGGACGGTAGGGGCACCAATGTCTCAAAAGTATGACGGAGGGTATCATACCATTTACAATAATTCGGGGATATATTTGTCTTTTTTCCTATTATTTATAAATTTTTCAAATTTTTGTGTCAGATTTTATTATTCTAACTTGATATTATATATTTTTCATTAAAATTTTATATTATTTGTATTCTTACTTCATAATATCCGTGTAGATCTTACCTCTCTAGATCTCATTTGTAGAATTGCATTGAACATGTTATAATTATTCAATTTATATATGTCAACTAAAAAAATAAGACCTCTTCATGAAGTTTAACTTTAGTCCCCAAATTTATTAAAACGATCGATAATTAAGTTCAAACTATTTAAAACTCGCATGTTCTAAAGCAATTGCTTTGAATATTGTTTACATTTTATGTTAAACAAAACCGACAGCTCATTCCCTTTTTCTTACTTTTATTTTTCTATATTTTGTGCCTATTTTATTTTAAGATATTTCTCTTCATCTTTTGTATTTGTCTTTTCGTTCCTTCCATTTTCCTTTTTTTCTTCTCTATTTTCATGAACAGTGACATTAAAGTGAATATACATGGAAAGAAATTCAAAACACCCAAAATTTGAAAATTTGGCTTTTAAAGTTTTTAACTAAATTTGTGAATGTTCTATTATCCCATATTATTTTCGTCCAAAACGCAAAATATAACTTTAATAATAAAAATCTAATTTGTAAAGATATGAGTTTGTTCATTTTATTGAAAATAAAATATGTTGGGTATTACATCTCCCTCCTAATTGTATTCACCTTTGAATTTTAATTTACAACCTTGGGTTCAAGAAAAGAAAAAAAAAAACGAACTAAGTTTGTGAATGTTTTATTATTCCGTATTATAAGAAGAGGTCTATTTTCGTCCAAAAAAGCAAAACATAACTTTAGCAATAAAGATCCAATTCGTAAAAATATGAGTTTGTCCATATTTATTTTTAAAAAAATAAAGTTAGGTATTATATTCCCCTCCTAAATAGACTAACTTTTTGGATTTTAATTTACAACGTTTGGATCCAGGGAAAAAAAAAAGTTTGTGAATATTCTATTACTCCATATTACAAGGATAGGTCTATTTTTGTCCCAAAAAAAAACAAAACATAATTTTAGCAATAAATATCCAATTTGTAAAGATATGAGTTTGTCCATATTTG